TGAAGGACGACTTCGAGACCTTCTGAATACGAACACTAAAGACAAAACCAAAGCCGCAGAAGCCTCATGCAATCACGGCGTTAAAGAGCGGAAATTGAGGGTGTCTTAACATCTGACGCAGCTGAGACGCAGTCAATCCTCAAGAATGATGATATCGGCTGTTTATGTCAAAGACGCCTCCCCCATCACTCCAAAAGCCAGAAGAAGTGCATTGCCGGCAATCAGAAGCGAGGATCGGCATGCCGTGCCTCAAATGAAGTAAGGAAGATATCCAAGGAGAGACGGTCTGACATTTCAAATGACCAAAGCGGGTGTTCAGATATTGGTTAGAGGAAAGTTTCAGTTGCTAAAAACAAAAAGGTTGGGTGCAGTTCAAGAAGGGCGGCAATTCTGATCTAAACAACTCTTGTCCAATCCTGCTTCACACTTCTAGAAGCTGTTAACTAAGATCATCACCAATAGACTGTCAACTATTGTCAGCATCAAGAGAATAGAGAGATTCCGAATGAGCTACATCACTATGGGTGACATCAATGCTTCAAATCAACTCCTCGAGAGCACGAGGGAATGCCAGCTCCTTCTGTGTGTCCCTTTCATCGATTATGAAAATGCGTTCAGGACTGTATCGACAGAACAGGGCAATACACATGCTTACGTCAACTTCTTCAATAAAGCAAACTTTGACAGCTACACAAGCATCAAGTTGTTCCATTCTTTCGGATTCTAGTGGAGAAGGGCGTGAAACAAGGGGACACCAACTCCGCCAATGTCTTGACGGCATGTTTAGAACTGAAAGGCCGGGTTTAGTATCAGCGTTCAGCGGTGAGTAGGTCCGCCACCTAAAGTTCGTCGATGATGTCTTTCAGCTTGTTGGAAGCGACATTCAGCTCTAAACGTGCTGCAGCGGTTCGGGAGAAGAAGTGCAGAAGTGTACTGCAAATCAGTGTGTCAAAACTGAAGATGCTGTGATCTAATGCCTTGTCAAAGCACCCAGTTAATGGTGAACGGCGAAAAGATGGAATAAGTCGATAAATTCATTTTCCTAGACAAAGAGGTTAACATGCGGCGTAAGCAGACTTTGGAGATTCAACGGGAAAGAAATCCGGAGTACGTGCTTCCATTCCATCGAGGACTTTTTCTTCTGCAATACCAGGAAAGAAACCCTCTCCCACCTCTTCAATTGCACCGTCCTGCTGGCAAAATCATATGACTGTGAGAGGTGCCATTAAAGCCAAAGAGCGTCAGCCATTTGCCACCGAGAGAGCCATTGAACGAAAAACGCTTGGATTCGACAGTCGTGACCACATCCCCAACACGGCGATAAAACAGCGCACGGGAGTGACGGAGGTTGTTGTCGCCTACCATGATGATGGGAAGAATGTATCAAGGCTGCGTTTGGAGGGAAAAAACCCGAAACCGCGAGGATTGATGAGTGCTTCGGTCAGCGTGATGTGTCACCGATTATTCACTAGGAATTCAAGTGAATATAAAATTACTAGTTATTAGACAATGAT